CATGAACATGCTAAACATTATACCTGGGTCAGTATTAGCATTGCTGTTATTAGCATGTTGATTTCAGCATTTAGCTCTAAGCATCACTGTGCCTAAGTACAGCCTCACTGAGCTGCTGGACTGGCAATTTCCTACTACATATGGATTCTAAGCAGGTTTTGAGCAGACAGCATGCATACTAAATGTGGTCATTTTTAGTGCGCTGCTGATGCACTCTATTATCCCATAATTCAATGCACAAATGAAATGGAGGAGTTGCTCATAGCCAGAAAATGATTGAGTTATAGGTTGTGGTTAAACGGCTCCAAAAGTATGAAAAAAACATTTTTATATTATATAATATTATATATTTATTTGATTGACAGCCCGTTCCTGTTTAGAATAAAGTGAGTGTTTTTCTGTACTAACTCATAAAACGGCATACTATGACGAGTGGGTATGTAGGATACTGTATCTAACTGGTTTGGAGACTGGATTCTGGACACAACATAGTCTTGTTTTAAGGAGTTTCTCTGTTCAGTGAGCACACTGCTGTTCCTAATCCTACTTTTCATTGTGATGGATGGCCAGGCACTCTCTCAAGCTGTGCCATTTAACAGAGCTAGAGCATGTTAATCTGGTTTCCAGGTGAACACGGGTTCCCCTTGTGCGGTATTTATCAAGCCGCACTGATCTACAATCAGTCTTTCCTTCTATATCTTAAATCCATCTCCAAACAAACACCTGTGGATGTTAAACTAGTATGTTTTTTACTGGTAAGTGATGAAAAAAGATGCTGTATTTATTTTATAAAACCTCTCAGGATGCTCAGTTGCCTCCTCAGTGGCAGCCCTTTAGAGAAATAAATAACCACAGATCAGGGCATCATTTGGTTTAAAATATGTTCTGGGGGCGTGCTGATGGTCTACAGGGGTTTAAAGATGCTGATCAGGTAATCGAAACATCCCTCATTCAAGTCTGGCCATTGACAACCCACCCTTTCTCTCCTCCCCACTTCCTGTCATCCATCTGTGTGTTATCTAATCAAGGCCGTCACCAATCACTCAGCTCTCACCAACAGCTCCCCCTCTGCTCCCACACAATATTCTATAGCCTGACTTCAGACTCTGGTTGGTTAGAGAGGAAAGCAGGGTCCCTCTAGGTAATTGAGTTCATTGGTCATGACCAATGTGTCACCAGTGTTTGATCTACAGCAGAGGAGCTAAAGCACAGGGAAATAAAAAGGAAATCCCAAACCTGCATCCCTTCAGAGGAAATGAGGGCATCTGAAGAATTACATGCCGGATTTGAGATATTACCCGTGTGGCTTTAAATCTTGAAATAATTGCCCTCATTCTCTCAAATGTATACGCTGAAAAATAATATTTTCTGCAGGAAATTGTTGAAAAAGCAGGTCAGTTGTGTTTAGTGCTGATGAACGGTTTGTGTTTATAACTCACACTTGCCATAAGCTTAATTGGCATCACCAGTACTAAAGGTGTTTTAATATACTAATGAGCTGTGAATAAATCCTTGTTTTTGGAGATTTTATGTCAAATACTGGAATATCAATCAATATTGAATGTTTTATTTTGAACCACAAAATAAATATAAATGAATAAATGCATGCTAGCCCATCAGTCATTGTGATCTGTAACCAATAATTTTTTTTTTTTGTTCATCGATTTTTAGGGAATGACACTGGATTGTGTGGAAATCTCTCTGGCGCGTGTGTTTGAGAGCGGCCAGGCTTATGTGGCCTTGTCTCGGGCTCGGAGCCTGGAAGGTCTGAGGGTCATGGACTTTGACCCCCGCGTGGTCAGGGCAGATCCAGATGTTCTCGTCTTCTACAGGAAACTGAGGAAGGAGAGGCTGCTCATGCAGGTGAGTGCGCAGCTCTTCCTCATGTCATTATCATAACCTGTAGACATTATCTGCAATAGATCTTTTTTTAATTTATTTTTTTAAGAAATACTTCGACACACTATTTAATCTTATAAAACTGCTTCTTCCAGGCCTCCATGGATGATTTTGTTGGCAACCGCAACAAAGAAAACTGTTGGTGAGAAGGTGAATTCATCTACACCTGTAACATTATGCACTGTGTGCATGAATGATGTGCAAATGATCGTCTTGTTTTATTTCTCTTGGGACTGTTTGGTTTACTGGAACAAATACAACCACAGACATCTACATTTACCATCTACCTCTTGTTTGCTTTTTTAACTGGCAGTACCAGAAGTCACACTGCCACCTTCTGATCAGTACTGTAATTTCATTTTTAAGAGCTTATTTTTATAATGACTTGATTTTTAATTTATTATGATTGCTGACATGTATTCCAATAAAGTTTTAGTCAACTTACATCTCTGCATCCTTTGTCATATCAAACATCTGTTTACCCTATTTCATGTCAAAATTGCAGATGTGAAAAAGGTAAATTTGTCCAACATGTCCATATTACCTAACTGTGTGCCTGTAACATCTCAGATCTTTAGATATTTCCTGGCCTTTTCAGTGGACAGGACAAGTGAAGATAGAGGGATGGGGACAACATGCAGCAAATGCTAGGACTCAGCCTACATTGGGCCAGATCAGATGCGGTTTCTTAGTCTGTCAGGCAATCACTTCCACTTGTACCACCGAACAATCAAAAGCTTTAAAATGATGCAATACAGGCAAATGGAAACAAAATAAGCTTTATTTTCCGGTGAGGACAATGAATTCATGACTGAAGCTGAGGTAAATTCTCCCTTATAAGAGCAGCATACTTTATTTTGCATATGAACTGACCACATTGTGAAGAATAGAGTCCTTTCTTTGCACAACCTTAAACAACCTGGAGGCGCCCATTATTACCTATACAACCAGTGACTCCTTTTACACACTGCTTCTGATCCTGTCTAAAGGTACTGTATGCACTGTATACAGAAAGAGTGGTGTTTATTTAGCCCATAAATTCACTTACATTAATACACAGGAGAGCAACAACAAAACTGTCCTGATTATTATTTTACAGTTTTAGCATTTAAATAGAATCTACAGCTGCAAGTGGTTGGACAGTGGTTGGTCATTTCACGTTATGGAACAGCTTGTGTGCTACCTATAAAGACAAAGGAGAACACAGTTAGCATCTTCATTAAAAGGCAAAACCAAAAAATCAATTCACAGGCAGTTTTGTTGCTGTTTGGGCAGTGAAAGGTAACAGAGGCACACACTGTATTTTCTTGACTTCTACCCCTCTTTGTGTCACTAATACACACACACTTACACAATGGTCCCGTGCATGCAGGAAGTCAAAGAGTTCTTCTGTGCAGTCCTCCAAAGTGGTGGATCTGGAGCTGACCCGGGCTTCACAAGTCTCCAGACGCTCCCTGGTGTGCACACAGTGTTCAGTCTGCTCACACTTGGCTCGTATTGTATCTATAGGGTCCTGGGTGGGACAAAAAGCAAATGTGGTATATTATTCAAAATGGTTCGTCATGAAGACTAACTTTAACAAAATGAATCAATCCCATATTTGGCAATAAATGCTGCTACCAGGAACTTTGCTCCAACATAATTCATTGTCTGATATCGAAGCCCAAATTTTGACTCTCACTCGACATTAATACGTTAAAGTCTGATGCACAAAGTCATGTTTGCTGATTGTGAATGTGATTTTGGATCCAATGGTGGAAGAAGTATGCAGATATTTTACAAGTACCACAGTGTAGATATACTTTGTTACAAGTCAAAGTCCTGCATTCAAATGATAAAAAGCTTTTAGTATTAATATATACTTAAGTATCAAAATCAAAAGTATTTTAGAATAATGTACAATATATTAATTGTAATTATTGATGCATTCATGTGCACAGCAATTCAGAGTTGAAGCTGGTGAAGGTGGACATAATTTTAGATACGACATTTTACTGGGAGGCAAGTTGTGAATTTCCCTCAGGATCAATAAAGTATATCTAATCTTAGCCTAAAACAACTGCAATGTTAGCCTTTGAATTGGAGTGGTATAAAGTAGCAGAAAATGGAGATACTAAGTTATGTATAAATGCCTCAAAATTTTCATGAGACAACAAACCTCTGTACTGTCTCATAGTAAGACTAGTAGAACTGTATTAAAAATAATGACTTCTTGCCCACTTCTGGCATTGAAAGGTGTATTCCTCTAAGGTTATCTAATGTGACTTGTGTCCATACTTTTAGAGTTTTCTTAAAACACTTTGTGTGTGATGGCAGTTAAGTCCCTTGTTCATACTTCAGGAATATGAGTAATAATGTATGAACAAACTTACCACCATATCTTCCTCTTCTTCTTCCTCCTCTTCCTCTTCTTCCTCCTCAGCAGGCGCATCTTCCTCCTGTCAGTGACAATAATGTGATAGGCATTTAATTAACTTGGTCTGAAAAAATATCTAATCATAAAGATAAGGGTTGCAAAAAAAATCCACTTCTGCTAAAAATAACAATACAACTAAAACTCAAATAACAAGCCAACACATATTTTAGATTTGAGGGGCTCACAGTAAAAAGTAGCAAGTTTAATGTGCATGTCCATGTTTGATGCTACTAGTAAGCTCATATTGAAACGTCTAAACCAGCTGACACTAAAGTCGACGTTACAGCGTTCAGAGTCGGGGTACTGAGCCGGGTTAGGTAAGCTAACTTGGCCAAACATACACAAAAAAGCCACATAAGAGACAAAATATCAATATTTTCAGTACCTCGTCGTCGGGGTCTCCGTATGTGAGCATTTTCCTCTCGAAAACCATGATTACGGCTCTGAAATTCACTAAACTCGGCAGAGGACAGGGGTCCTAGCTCGTCAGTAGCACTGCTTCTCGTTGAGGACGTGAGGTCGGTCACACGCAGGAAACGACTAGAAGGATCACCAGATAAAGCTTCCTATTGGTTAAAAGCGATTAGTGAAGTTGCTCTGGTCCAATCATCTGCCTAGATTCTGTTTAAGCCCCGCCCATTCGATTGGGCAATACGTGCGGAACCTTTGTTGTGGCTGTCGGAGTGAGAAGAAGACGGACCCAGAAAACTGTCGCACGGCAATGATGGCACTGCTCTTGGACGCCAGACTTCTCGTGAGAAAAGTGAAAGATTTAAGTTGTTTCACGCCAAGACGACACCGAGTGAAAGGGAAGTGGGTAAGTTGTCCGAGCAGTTATTGATAAATGAGTTGTTAACGGTCGTTATGTGTAAAACTGTTGCCAGGAATATCTAACATTAGCCACAAAGCAACATGGAGTAACGATAGGTATTACCAATGAATGTCTAATAAGGTAGACGGGCTCTGGTATTACTACTAAAGAGAGTTGCGTTTTGACAATAACTCTGTATATAGAGGTGTATGTGATTAATGAGAGCTAGACTTAAGAGGTTCGACATAAATTAACTTCATGATGATTCTGTTCTCTCATACAGTATAATAACGTTTAGATTTTCATTCAACAATATAAAATGTTACACTAGTCTTTGTCAAATCTTGACCCAAATTCCTTGTGTTTAATGTGACTAATTAAAATAAACATTCAATCTGTGTGTGTTTTGACCTCCCTACTTTTGGACAGGCTGCCACACTTGCCAAGCAGCCTGCCACCAGCCTAGCCCTGCAGCACTTTGATGCCACCTACAGCGGCCAGCTGGGAGAGCTGTGGCCATCAATCCGAGTCGCCTTGCTGTCAGAGAAGAAATACGGAGCCCTGTTCAATAACTTCTCCCACGAGTCTACTCTGGCACAATTAGAAGCCCAGGGATGCAGAGACTTCATCAGTGACACAGGTACAGAGGGTAGGTGTGCATCCAGTGTTTACGGTGAACCTGCCATTGTTGGCTTTCAGGTTTTGATACTGAGAGCTCACACATTGTTTCTTCTTCAAAAGATACATTCACATTGTAAATAATATACAGAATTAATTTTATAGGGAAAGAGTTGTGCAGAGGTTCAGGTAATATTAGGGTTTTTAAAATCAACATGCAGTAGGTAGATTGAAGAGTCAGTTATAGCCATTTGTATTATAATAGAAAACATAACAGAGCATAACATTTACTGATTGTGCACTTACATCTCCACACAAGGCCCTTAACTGAAAGAAACCTATTTGCTAATGCTATATTGAACATTGCAAACTAACCCAGAACATAAAAAATGAAGGTGTCATGGTATTGGTGTGGTTTTCATGAAATTGCATGTAACTGTCTAATGGCAGCCCCTTTATTTTGTGCATATTGATTTTTATTTAATAAAAAATCTTCCCCAGAGACCTTTTCTGATGTTCTTCCTTAAGATAAAGGACCATTGGTGCATAACACTTTATTTGTAACATTTAGGTTTATTTTGGTGAACAAGCCATAACCAATGATGCAGGGAGGTGGTGTACAATTTGAAATATATATTGACTCATATTGTTATTTAGTAGAATTATGATTCAGGGGGTATATACTAGTGATGCAATCCAGGTTGTCACACAACAATGTTTGGTTTTAATTACATGTAACTTGTACATTTTTTCCTCAGAAGTACTTTAAGAACAATGGTTGATCATTGTATGTACGACATTGTGTGTATGATACATGGAAGAAAAAAAAGCTACTGTCTGAAAGCCTTCTTATTAAACTCTTTTTTTTTCATGTAATTAAAAAGCACAATCTCTCTCCTCATATCAATTCTGTATTCTTCATTTCTGCAGCTCAGCCATCTGAGGTTGCAGTTGAAGAGGAATCCAACTGTGTCTCTATAAAGAAATCTGACATTGATGGTCAGCTACTATCTCCTCTACAGCTTAGTCCTCACATCAAGTGCTTAGTGTTTCCAAGAGGGGACATCACAAGATTCAAGCCTGCAAGGTGAGAGTATTTGTTGGCATGAGTCCTGTTTAACGTCTTGTACAAGTTTGATCATTTGTAACTATATTTTAAGTTGTTTTTAGAGGACCATTATCTTTCAAATGAAGTCCAGTTTGATTTTCTCTGACTTTGTGTTTCCTTGTCCTCGAAAGACCAGACATGTACGGGTTGTTGGGTTACTACCTGATGGACGCAGCATCTGTGCTGCCTGTTCTCGCATTAGATGTTCAAGAAGGTCACAGTGTGCTTGACCTCTGTGCTGCTCCAGGAGGCAAAACCCTGGCTTTACTTCAGACCCAGTCTATAGGTAAGAGAGCCGCTCTCACCTGTCTGTTTTCCACACTGCCGAAACCTTCTTGTCTTCCTCGTCTGTGAGAATTAGTGCTCTCAGTTGTAGTTAACCCTTCAAGCCTGTGTTTATGTCAAAGGTTTTTTGTGCGTGAATGACTCATCGGTGTCCCGGACGTTGCGACTGAGAAGGGTTCTCCGCAGTTTCGTTCCTAAGCAGTTATTGACGGACGAGAAACTACACATCAGCTCCCTTGACGGCACCAAGTGGGGGGAAGTCGAGAGTAACACTTTTGACAGGGTAAGCCAGTGTTGTCATTTCGTTTATTCTTTTTCGAACAGAATTTGCAGATTGTCAATGCCTGTATTAATGATACAGTCAACCAAATACCAACCCTTTGTCCACGTCCTCTTTTCTTTTGTGTATTCAGGTCCTTGTTGATGTCCCCTGCACCACGGACAGACATTCCGTAACGGAGGACGACAACAATATATTCAGTAAGAGCAGGACCGGGGAGAGACGGAGGCTGCCACAGCTACAGCTGGAGCTGCTACTGTGAGTTCTGAAGAAACTATAAAGATATAAAGTTTGGTTATTACAGTTCATGTGAAATACATTTTGTCACCTCAGTATACAGCGACACAGTCCACTTTACAGCTACAAGTGAACAAACTCCCTCTATCCTGCAGGGCGGGAATCGAAGCGGCTTGTCCAGGTGGGGAAATCCTCTACTCCACCTGCACACTTTCTCAAATCCAGAACCAGAGTGTGGTGGAGCAGGCCATCTTCTTGGCTCAAGAGAACCACGGCATCCGCCTTCAGGTCAGTCAGTACACACTGTAAACTGTGTATCAGAGATTCAGTGATAAACTCAAGAATAGTGCAAGTTAACTATTGCTAATGTTCTGACCACTGGGAACTAAATTACGAAAAAATAATTAACTCTTTGTTCTCCTTTTTCCCTCTTTGTCCTGATCAAATCTACATTCAGGTTGTTGACCTGAAACCGCTCCCACACATGTTTAGGAAAACCTTTCACTTCGCTCCCAACCTCCACCTGGGTGAGATGGTCATCCCACACTTAGCTGCTAACTTTGGCCCCATCTACATGTGCAAGCTAAGGAGGCTTTCATAGACTTGTGGACTGCTTTTCCTAAAAGCTTGTTGACATTTGAATGTCTGTGTCACTGCTTTATGGACTGGTGGAGGCGATGCTCTGGACTGGACTCTGGACTGTAGGAGCACAGTTGGAGAAGATTTCATTGTGGTGGTTGACGGTTGAAACACTGGACTACTGTTGGTTAAATGTGACAGAAAACACAAAGAATCCAGCTGGACCTGGAACATGACATTATAACTGGACAACACCAATAGAAACGTCAAGTGAACTGCTATCAGTTAAACCTCTGATTTGACTATTTATTTGGACTCTGTAGATGTGCTTATGATTAAATTATGTCTTTTAACTGTAGTTTCATTTTTGCCCTGTAGGTGGCAACATTAGCCAAAGATTAAAGTGTCCTGTATATTCTGTGTCCACTAGAGGGCACTAAGGGTGTGAGTAAAGGAGCTCCACTATGCATGTTCTCTTGCACTGTGTCAGATGCACAGAGATAAATATTTCAGGTTGGGGAATGATATTACTGAAACACAAATTTCCATCAGAATTACCTGCCCTCTTTAACTCTCCAGTGAAAATGGGTCTGGCTTGTTCTATGGTTATTCATCAGGTTTGATGTCTTTGCCTAATAACGCGATATGTGGGTATGTGGAAGGAGGGCATAATGAACAGGCAGGTAATGACTTATTTGACCATTTGGCTTCTCACATCTGAATCTGTGCAACTTTCATTATGATAGCTGGGATTGACTCCGTTTTGCATTGACATCACTCAGAGGTGAAATGTTTCCTCTTATCACAAGCTAATGTGAGCGCAGAGGTGCCTCTTTTCCCCATCACACCGCCGATGACCCTTTATGTTGTCCTGGCCAGGCAATGTAGCGTGAAAAAGGTGTGTGTGTATATGTGTGTGCCTAACGAGTCCACCATCCACATCCCACTGTCATTAAGCTGCTCCAAGTGCAGGAGCTGACTCCCATCCCCATGCAGGGATGGACGGCAGCCATGCGGCTCCCAGATGAACATTAAAGAGGCAGCAGAGAGCTAAAATGGGACGTCTCGCCCTGTTTTGCCCCTCCGCTTTTTTATTCCACAGATGAGTGCAGATAATTTTCTGTGCGATTGTGAGTGATTACTGCATTACTGCGGTAAAAGGGGGATGTATCTGGGAATGCAGAGGGAATTAATGACACATAAAAACTATTTTTGTATTGACTGCTTTCGTCTCCAGGGCCTTGAATGCCTCTTCGCACATCGTGTGATTACCTAAACGTATTGTAAATATGTGTTTCCTATGGGCTCTTACATAAATTTACATGTTTTAACACTCAGGAGACGGCAGACTGTTAGAGATGAGTTACTCTCTATTCTGCCTGTCTATAGACTCCACTGACTGTCTGCTTTATTATTGAATTAGCCAATGAACCGCTGTGCATTTGTGTCCCTGTGTGTAAGCCTGTGTTAGGAAGACGTATGCTGTGTATTAGAAAGATGAATCTTATGGATTTAACTACACAACCATGCTTCTTTTGTGTTTTCAAATATAATTTAAGTGTTGCTTTTTTTTCCTAATAAACATGCAAAACACTGTAATAGTGTTATGTTTTCACCTCCTACCTCAAAAGCTACTGTATGAACACTACAATAGGTTATTAAGTGACTGCAGAAGGGTAAGGAAACATGTCTTACAGGTTTAACGGGTCCCTGTTATGTCTAAATGAGTTGATTGTGTGTGTGTGTGTGTGTGTGTGTGTGTGTGTGTATAGAGTGTAGTCTGTGTATTTAAAGCAAATGCTGCTGTTCCTGCTGTGGTGTTTTCCAGCCCACAGGTGAAGATAAGACGTGTGTCCCAGTTGGCAGTGGGAGAGAGGATTTCACCGGTGGGGGTCTTTGTCGCAGATGCACTGTGTAGACTGAGCCCAGCAGGATGTGTTCTCTGCTGCTTTCAGCCACAGGGCAGATAGAAAATGCTATGTGGCCTTTTTTTTTTTTTTTTTCAGCTGTTCATATCTTGGCAGGTTGTACTTGAAGCGTATTTCTGTTTACCTTTTTACAAGCATCCATTGTCATTAGTGAAAGGATCATTTGTATCATGTGTTTCACTCACACTCGTATCACAGTATGACAGATGGCAGACCGAGGAGGTGGAGAGTGACTGAGAGCATGTGACATGCACAGGTTGACTTTGTCTCTTTTCATTCTCTTCAGGTTTTTTTTTTTTTTTGCATAATTCATAATTGATGGATGATTTCCAGGAAGTTGATCTACTACCACATCCATCAGTGAAGTTTGCAGACTCTCATACGATACGCTACAGGCCCGTTTACATTCTGTTATAATAGAACTTTTCTTCATAATGTGGTTGGGTTGGGCTATAATATGGAGGTAAATATTTATTTAGGGAATATTGTATTTTTATATGATTTTTGCCTTAATATAAAGATGGACCTTGATTTGTCAAGTATTTTAATTGCCGGATTACTCATTCATGTCAGGGTTTTCTTTTAAATTTGTTAAATCAAATCTGGAGAGGACAATCTGGTGAAACAGGCTTGAGGAGATATCATACATCCCATGCTATAGCCCAGTCTTTCTTTTATGTAACATTTAATGATATAAACACACTTTTTGTTGCAGCAGTGTTTCTACTCAAAACTACATACTGGCCTGTAGAGTTACTTCAAACAATCTCTGTATACCAGCCCATATAGTCAATATGTGATTTAAGCATTCTCCGATCGACTCTATGAACTGTCTGAGAGCAGTCCCGAGCAATGCGGTGAGGCCCACATTGGAAATGCAACCGTAGGTTTAGACTGCAGCCAGATTAAGAAGAGAGAGAATGGGGTTTTTCTTCTCTCTAAGAAGATTACCCGGGGAGGGGTGAGATGGCAGTCAGTGTCTAAGAAAAAAAGGACAAGAAGAAAATGGAAGATGAAGTGGAACTAAAGGAGGGTGGCCCAGGATACACAGTTTAGCCACCTGTTGTCTGCCTTTTGATATCACTCTTTCTTTGTTTCTCTATCTTTATAACATCTATCTTTGCTCTGTCTCTTGTTATTAAACATTAAGATAAAAGTCTGAGTTTTAAAGGTCTTTGGTATAAAAGGGAAAGGATTGTTGCCATGTTACATTTTTTTAAAGAAGTTTGAACCTCAAGCTTCATGTATGTGTTGAATGTCTTTCGAGGTAGTTTCTTTTTTTTTTTCTTCTTCTTTTTTTTTGCATGTGTATGTGCAGCTGTGAGCGTGATTGTACTTGTGCTTTCGTCTCTCTTAAGTTCCTGCTGGTGGTTTCCAGGAGGGCTTTGATGTGTATCTGGGCAATGCACTATTAGAGGGATTTCCCTGGGCCTGACAGCTCAGAGAATATGCGGCGAAATGGCAATGCCAGTGGGCTAAAAGAATGCTGGAAACAGGATTAGGATCATATTCTGGCAGACCCTGTCACCTCCTCAATGGGCCGAGGTTTCTAATGCTGGCACTTTTCATTCTCGCCATGGTTAAAACCTTTAAGAGAACCATGGAGAGGAGGGAGAAAAAAGCACTGATTGAATGGTACACTGTGATTTTTGTGTGGGGGTCTTGCTCCGTGTGTGTGTGTGTGTGTGTGTGTGTGTGTGAGAGAGAGAGAGAGAGAGAGAGAGAGAGAGAGAGAGAGAGAGAGAGACAAAGCAAGAGATCCAGGAAACCAATGAGCCTGTGTGGGTGAAAACTTTTATAAAATACCTTGTTTTTTTGAGAAGTTTGGACAACTAAAATCGGTCTGACCTGAGTTTGAAAGCATTGGGTTCATATCCTCGTATCACTGCTACAATTTATTGGGTGATTTTCAGACCTCTCTCTCTCTCTCTCTCTCACACACACACACAGTGCATCATCATCATCACTTGCTTAAAGGAAAGAAGATGGAGATGCTTGTGCAGCCATAAATAGGTGGTTATAGTGGTGAATATACAGCCCTGAGAGATGGAAGCACCTGATCCAGCATGAAGGGCTCAACACACTTGACCCTGCAGCAGTACAATCTAGCAATCCCTGTTCAACCCCCAGGGTGTGTGTGTGTGTGTGTGTGTGTGTGTGTGTGTGTGTGTGTGTGTGTGTGTGTGTGTGTGTGTGTGTGTGTTTTGGGGGGAGGGGGGATGGGTGTTAAGAAAAGAGAGAACAAGAGTATTGTGTTATGTTCTCTGGTCCAGATGGCCCCATGGGAGGAAATCTTGCCATGTACCTGGACAGATTCCTACTCTGGATAACAAGGACATTCACTGCTGCTGCATATCCACACCACAATCTTATCAGTCACACAATCAGGACGCCCTTGGTCGAGGACACACACACTTACTGAATGTGGTGTAATAAAAAACAACAAGGTTAGGGTGAGGTGTTACACCCACATTAACACTGCTAATCTGGTGAGATCATCATCCTCCTCTATCCGATTTTTGGATGGCGGTCATTCATAACGGTCGGATACAAACTGCTCAGTGCAGCAGCCGAGGTGCATTTGTTATTTACACACGCTGAGGGGGGAAAATATATGTTAAAGGGCAATTCAATTAACAGCAGAGCAATGTCACACAGCTGGGGCGATGCACTTAACAGTACATGTAAACTTTACTGTGGGAAGAGCAAGGGCACATTCTGGAGGAGGCGGCAGAGATGCACATTTGCTACGTTGTGTGTGTGTGTGTGTGTGTGTGTGTGTGTGTGTGTGTGTGTGTGTGTGTGTGCGTGTGCGTGTGCGTGTGCTCGTGCGTGTGTGTGTGTGTGTGTGTGTGTGTGTGTGTGTTGTGTGTAAGTGTGCGTGTGTGTGTAAGGGCAGGGTTGGGTGGGGGTCTGTGCGTTTTGACAAACCATGCTGTTAAAGATATAATAGCAGCATAATCACCGCCCCGGGCCATCATTCTTCAGGATAATGGCCTGCTTATTCATTGGGGATGGCTTATGTCTCCATGCGGCTTTTTTATTTTTCAAATTTTTCAGATTATGTTGTTCTTTTTCTGCCTGTTTTGCTCCCGTACTCTTTGTCTTCCTGCAAGTTCTCATACATTTAATTTTTTTTATTGCTCTCTTAATTTGACCTTCCCATCCCTGCATTGTCTTGATGCTTTTCTTCACCTTGCCGTTTCTTTTTCCTCTCACCATCACCTTTTCTCCCTTACACTCATTAGTGAGACAGAAAAAAAGCCAAACTGATGTCACCTTATATATTTTACTTTTACTTTTACTCATATTTTACATTTGCAAGTATGCAAACCAACTCGATCAATAGGTTTTCCTACTCACTGAAATTAACAACATTCAAACATAATATCTCTAGCTTTTCTCTACTTCTAAATTCATGCTGTTTAATCACATTTGTGTCGCAGATCTGAATATCACCCCTGTCAAGGTATCACCATCACATCACTGTGTAAATATGCAGCACAGATAGAGAAGTCTTCATTATAAACATCTCCAAGCAAGGTTTTTATTTGAGATTATTTTACAACAACACTATTTCAAGTCTACATTGTTAGGGAGGAGTAAAGAAACAACACTGCTGATGGTCCGCTCACTCTCTCCTCCACCATTATAAATCTATCTACCACTGGACCAAGTAGTTTGACAGAGACAGTGGGGGGGGGGCAGCATTAGAATAATAGCAACAACAGAACTCAAATAGAGTCAAGACAGCAGTACACAGAGGACTTGGGTCAATTATTCACTGAAATCACTTTCTTTGACTTCAGGCTTTTCAGTCTGGATTGCAAGATAAAGACGGTGGCAGTCTTCCTTCTTTCCAAATTTGTTCAATTGCTTCTTTCCAGACACTTCCAGAGAAGAAAGTGAACACATAAAATATTAATTCAACCCAGGACCATTACACAGACAACCAAGAGAGGAGGGGAAGACAGGGCTGCCGGTGAGCTCAGCAAATACAATCTTACAATCTGACAGCTAAAGGAAATTTTATCTGAGTCCATAATCAATTATACACCATAATAGGAACTTTACAATTACCTTACCAGTAAACATTAATAGATAGAGTTTTTTTATTTTACATACTAAAATAATGTGCTTTTTTTTTCATATGAAGACATTAGCTTCCAGAACACATTAACAGAAAACATCAGAGACGTGTGTGATTCTCCTCATCAAGTGCTAACAGTCAGTCTGACTTTCAATGAAAAGCTGCATGTTTCCTCAAGAGAATATTAAGGCGGGAATAAAATATGGGCCGAGACATTTATCCAAACGTCCAAATTTGTTTACCATATCATTTTGTATTCAAAGGAAATTTATCAACTCATGGTAAAGTGATGTCAGTCATGTTGCTACCTTAATTGACCGTTTTAGTGCACAGGCCTTTTGAATTTATAAAGGCGGTCTTAAATGGTATGCATGTTCATAATTGCATTTGCCCCAGCTCCCTCAGCCCAGGGCAAAATGTAATTAAAAGCTCTGAGAATTTAGTCACTGGAATCATTTTCTCATTATCAAGCCAGCCTCTGTACAAAGTGGAATATTGCTGGCCATTAAACTGGTAAATTAGTCACTTTTAATTATGCTGTTGAGGACAACATGGCTTGAAGTTTATTTTTATTTATGTGCTGTTATGTAGTACATGCTATGTACATAACCAGTGCTGCTTAATTGAAATGTCAGTGGTCCTGTGACAATAATGGTCTCTTTGCTGCACGACCGCTGCCTTTTTCTTCCTGGCCAACAAGCCTAATTCCGTCAAAAGTGCCTCATTTATTCACATTATCCTTGTAAACATTGTTTGTATTGTCTTTTAATCTGAGTGCATCCATCGTGTGTGTTTGTGTGTGTGTGTGTGTGTGTGTGTGTGTGTGTGTGTGTGTTCATTATTCTCAGTGATTCTTCTTTTTAATTATTTCAGATGTGAAGAAGGTCCAGCATTACATGTCTGTTGGAAACATCTTTATATGAGTCACTGTCTTCTGAGTCAGGACATTCAGTTGACCTGTCGCATTATTCGAGTTTAATATCTTGTGGGATTTCTATTCCCGAGGTTACACTTCTGGATGTTGAGCTGCAACTGAAGCTTAGAGGAGTCAAAGAAGCTGTGGACGTGTGGTCTGACTTAAAAAGCTGTTAAATGGAGTTCTGTAGGTCCAGTGCATGTTGTCATGTTTTATTTTTGGACATCTCTTCATGTCCTGTGCCCATGGCGTCGGGAAGGGCTCAGTATATGGTTCCTAAAGAACTATCACAGTCACACAGACACGCAGTAGGATGGGATGACGTGTAGGCCGAGTCTCTGGCCTACTTTACATTGTCCTCCATACAATGTGATGCTCAGTTAGACATTGTGTCCAGTCCCAGTGAGGCAGCATGCTGCTTGGCCCTCAGACGCAGGTTCTCGATGCTGGTGGTCTTGTTGTTGTGGCTGGTGAGGCCGCCTGCAGCCGACGCCTGCAGCAGCGGGCTGTTCCACACCTGCTGAGCGTGATGGGACAGGGACTGGTAGTAAGACTGGCAGGGCAGAGAGCCCAGTGGCGCAGGGGGCATGTTGACATTCATCCCCAGGTAGGGGAGAGAAGATGGGGCAGAAAGGTCAAAAGCAGGGTAGTGCACCAGGTTGTTAGTGGCGGCCATGTGCTGGCGAAACTGCTCCTGCAGGCGAAACAGGCTGAGAGGGGAGGAAGAGTAAGAGTGGCCCTGAGAGAGAGGGCCGCTGCTGGCCAGGCCACCGCTGGAGGAAGAGGGGGTCACGGATGGAGAGACCAGGGGAGAGTCTAGGGAGGGAAAAAAAGAGATACATTAATACAAAATTATTTATAGTATAGTATTATAGTCAGCACATGAGAGAAGACATTCACAAAGTTTGTGATGGATAAGGAAAGGAATTCCTTGTCAGAGTAAAAACCAAGTATCCAATGTTCTTACCTGGTTTAGGGCTGAGTCTTTTGCAAGCCGGAGAGACGTCCCCAGGAGTCATTGCTCTCTCACACTTCACCTCCTCTCTCTGAGATTTACTTTCTTCTTCCTTATCAGTCGCATTATCCTCTGTTGCTGACTCGCTGCCAGAGTGTTCTGCTGACGTGACGTTCAGCTCCATGTCCAGCGGTACGGGACGGACTACAGGACCCTCTGTCTCCAGAGAAGAGGAGGAGGAGGAGGAGGATGAAGGAGGGAGCTGGGTGTCAGGAAGGATAGTTGTAGAGGGAGGTGCATCCTCCTTCTCACTTCCTCCTTCCCCTGATGCCTCCTTCTGCTTTTGGAGCTGCTCCTTCTGGAGGCTGCGCTGCTTCTTACGGAACTTGGCTCTGCGGTTTTTGAACCAAACCTGATGGCAGAGGGATGAAGAGGGAGAGTTAGAGGGAGAACGAGCAGAAAAGAGGTACAACAGTGGATGAAAACTGTAACAGTCAATTTATTTCAGTGAGCATCAAATAATTAAGCAGCCAATGAAAAGCCCAAAAAGTCAATACAGCAATAACAAGCCTGTATACAAGGCTGTAACAGAATAACTTACAGTTTAAAATGATTAAATAAACTTAAACTTAAATCAAAAGCAGCATTTGAATTGATACTTTTTATTTTTTTGTATTCAGATGGATAACTTCCATTTTCTGTTTTGCAGGAATAAGTTAATCTTCACCAGTGTGACTAAGGCACTCCCTAAAAAGTTTTTTTTCTAAATAGTGCAAGCATCACTGTTTTCAACTAAAACAATGTAAGATTTTTTTATTAAAGCAGCAGACAATTAAAGTAGGCATATTGTTTTATTTTCTTTCTCTATTATTTTGATTAATCCCACAACTTTTTTACAACCAATGAAATAAGTGACATCCCAAAATAACAGACTAGTCCACCCCCATAAATATCGGTTGATACTAAACAAATACTAGCCTACATAAAACTGTAGCAGTTCCCATAAGATAGGAAAACTGCATTAAAATTGCAGAAATAATACAAAAGATGCACGTAATAAAACCACAATTAAACTAACTATTTACTGCTACAAACAAATATACATATCACATATATATATATCTGTGTACTGCACAGTGTTGTACCTGCACACGGGCCTCGGGCAGGTTGGTGCACATGGCCAGCCGCTCCCTCATCACCACATCCGGGTAGTGGGTCTTCTGGAAAGTCTTCTCCAGCGCTTCCAGCTGCTGTGCGGTGAAGGCCGTGCGGCTCCGGCGCTGTTTGCGGTGCTGAGAGCCGTAGCGAGCCTCCAGGATGATGTCTTGAAATGCGCAGCCGTTGGAAAGGAAAAACACACGGCAAGTTTATTTTACTGGGAATGATGGGATTGCTTTATTTGCATGAAGGTCAGCTGCACCTTGTCTGTAAATACTGACAACTGAGGACGTAAAATAGTACAATTTGACCGCAAATCAGCAGCCTATAACACTTTTTAATTACTTTCTTATTCTTTAATTATTATTTAATTAATAGATCGTCTGTTTCCAAGATTATTAGACATGTTACAAATACTGAACTACATACAGTCTGTATATGTGTGTGTGTGTGTGTGTGTGTGTGTGTTAGCGTGCACTCAATTACCAGCAAGTCTCTCGGCCAGTGTGAGCGCGTGCACGGATGGCCGGTAGTCTGGCGCGTGCTGCGCCTGTTGCGCGGCCTGCTGGTGCAGGTTGTACATGGCGCTGAGGGAGTTCATGGCGTGCAGAGAGTAGCCGTTCACCCCGTAGTGCTGCATGGTGAGAGGTCGCTGCCTGCGGAACGGGAGAGGGGATGGTTGTGATTTTCAGATAAAGGAGGGAAGGAGGTAAAGAGGTAAGGGGAGTTCACACAAGGACATTTTGACAGTAAGGGCGCTGATGGACCCGCTGTGACTGTGGAGATCTCCAACCAACCCTCAGTTCTGATGAGATGAACAACATCATCTATTTATGGTAAAGCAACTCTCGAGCTTTTTATTGGTACATGTCAGCAGGTCCTCGCGCTCAAGGGCCAATAGATTTTAATGTGCGCACTCAGACAAAAGTGTTATCCATTAACATCCAATTATCGCTTTGTTCAATCCATTAATTATACAAAAGACTTTTAATTGGGGTAATTATCACTCGTTCTCATAATGAACCGTGACGGATGCCTTATTCATAAATTTATTCACGTCGTTTCTGTGATCCCGGAGAAGCCAAATCCCCATTGAAAACGTTGCTCTGACAGATCAAGGCGTTGATGAAATGTGTTGGAAAATGAAATAAGGAGATTTGTTCCGGGTCTCGGTGGCAAAAACCTGCAACCGGATAGCAGGATTATTTTTAATAGGCAATGATTAGTCTATACGGGGATGTTATTCTCAGTAAGTGACTGACTTTCTTACTTCTGAAAATTCATTTTCTTGTAACATTTAACAGCAAAACGTCCTATTTATCCCGCTGTAATTTCATCCTATTTATAATTAACACATAGTCCTCCATACTTTTATATTCACACATAGCTTTTAATGATACGAACAGATTAATGTCAGGAAGGGAAACCACCATGTTAGAGTCTGTCAATTTCCCAAACTCTATTTCTCCTTCACGACCGAGATCTTCATAGATGAAACGCTTGAGGACACGATTAGATATGTATTAGTACGGAGGAGGCTGACAGGGGGGAATATCTCGGAGGCCCAAACAGTTATTATAACTATTACAGAGAGACCACCGGGAAAAGATATAAATCGTTCTGCTGTATGACAGCTACAGTATCCAGGGAACCGGCTAAGTTCTCGGACGTAGGTACAGATACTTTTGAGATAACTTTCAGGTTATCCTTTTACTAATTTGTTACTGTTTTATTTCATTTGACTAATTTACAACGATTTATTTGTGTATGTTGTAGCAAAAAATAAATCAATTAACATTGGTTGTTATTAATTAAAGTATCTGAACCGTTTAAATTGCTCTGTGCTCTATGAATGTATGCAGGATATTTGACCAAGGTAATGGCCTACTGTGACCTATCATTACTGGTTCACATCTTTTGATTATGGCTTCATAGTTCAAATGATTGGATTCCAGTATAATACTACTACTACTATTACTAATAATAATAATAATAATAATAATAATAATAGCCTACTACTACTACTACTACTACTAATAATAATAATAATAATAATAGCCTACTAATACTACTACTACTAATAATAATAATAATAATAATAATAATAATAATAATAATAATAATAATAATTAGGCTGTTGTAAACCTGTAAAACAGAAAAGACTGGGTGGTCGTTCTTGTAAAAGGCAGTTTTTTCCCTATGTCTGAGTGTGTGTGTGTGTGTGTGTGTGTGTGTGTGTGTGTGTGTGTGTGTGTGTGTGTGTGTGTGTGTGTGTGTTTATGCCCGCAGTGCCCATTCCCAGCCTATTAAGTGGCTGCGGCGGCTGATGAATGTGATCAGAGGGCAGTGGGGAATAGTTTAATTCGCCGGGACAGAAGGTGCTTCGCTAAACATTTACTTTACTCCCCCAAGTATTTGAGTTGAATGGGCCCCCCTCCCCGTCTCCCCCCCTCCTCTCCCTCTCTGGCGGCCTCTTATCCCATCGCCCCGGGGCAACGTTTTGGCTGAGATGTATGGCTTCTCCGCGGGTAAAAATATGCATGTTGATCCCCATTTGGCTCCCCGTCTAATGGAAGTGCAAATAGGTTTCGACTGCGAGGCCCTCCATTTATCATCAACGCTGACACGGACGGACGTACAGTGGGACTGGGTGGTTAGCTCTGGGTTGGCGTTCCCGCGCGTGCGTTTGCGTGCGCACGTGGGCTAAGTGTGCGTGCGTGCGTGTGTGTGTGCCAGTAATAGGCAATTTTTCTCATCTGCGGTCTTTCTCTCCTTTCCTGCGAGTTTTCTCTAAAAATAAAGGTGTAGATTTTAACTGGGCAAAGCCTCAAAATGTACAAATGTGTCTATTAACGTTTCTAATAATGCACAGATTTGTATTTGTTTACACCTGCCTGCAAGCGCCGATGAAAGTAAGAAAGAAAAATATCAGTCATTGATATTAATCTCACTTTTTGCACAATAAAGCTGCAGAGAAAAATGCGGCAGGTTTTTTTGCTCCCCTGTTTCGTCCACAAGTAAACTTTTTAGCTTGAAGCCTGCCCTCTCGCCAATACCCACCTTTTATATTTACCACTACATCTCTGGTTATAGCCTGTATCCTCCTGCCCATATCAAATTCAGCACAATAGCTCATCACTGTGAGCCTGTCAGCGCTGTTATTGTCATTCATAAGCCTCTCTCTGCTCCAGGCACTGGGCCCTCCTGGCAGCCCTGCTCAATGCTTCGATTATCAAACCGTCATTATGTAAATTGGCATGTACAGTGCAACTCTTTGATCCGACTAAATTAGGAAAAATGTTATTTGCTAACAGCCCCCAGGGGCCTGAGTCGACCTGACAATCTGCTCTTTGCTGTGTCAGAGTGTAAACTGTCAGAGGGCGAGCGACATGTATTTGATTTTTCTCTGAGCTGTTATTATGAAGAATATTTGTTATGCGGAAATCAGATTACATTTTATACGTATTCAATGTCTGATATTTTATTGTCAGCATATATTAAGTTTGTTAAAGCATTTTAAGATGTTAATATCACTGCGAGAATGTGTAGCTTTATTTTGTAAAAAGAATATATAAGAAAAAAGGAGAAAACCCCCAGTATGTTCCTCCGTACGTTACTATCGCTTTAGAATATTTTTTAATGTTAAACTCTTTCAGAAGAGACCAGGGTCACGAGTGAAGAACACGAGCTTTTATTTAGGGTAGGTTATAATATTTTTGGGGTTTTAAATTTTGTTTAATTTTGTATTATTTGTCATGTGAACGTTATGAATTTGAGCCAGGTTGCATTTTGGGTTGAAACTTCAAACTATACCAAATACATTTCCACCTAAATAAACTGCTTTAATCTCCACTCAGTTGAAAGAATATATATATATATATATATATATATATATATATATAATCATATATTTCAACTTTACAAACACAATAGGATCAACTTCATTCTGGCGACTTTACTTAAATTACTTCAGAGTATGGCTGATAAAAAAAAAGCGTTTCTCATAAACATTAAAGCATGTTTACACCGTTTCTGTTCAACACAACATGTGATTTAAAAAACAGAATAAAGAGCTGTTAGAAAGTTTTTACCTCTTGCAGAGACAGTTGTCACTTCGTATACGGACAGCTCAGACACTCCGAGCTCCTCCACCTCTTCACTTTCTCTTCTGCTCTTCCAGCTGTTGGTGCTTTTAAAGCCCACTGTCTCCCTCCTTTTGTCCGACAGAGAGATAAACAAGTCGGGCAAATGTAAAAGTCATCCAGTCTTGTTACTTCGCTTCAAGTCCGTCCGCTCGCGCTCCACCTGCTCCTCTCGTGATGAATTCGCCGCGTCTCGCGCAAGAGTGGGAAGCAGCCATCTGCTGGTGCGCGAGAGCCCGTTGGAGGGATTTTAAGGAGAGCTTCGCGGGGGTCACGCTGGCTTTCTATTGGCTCTCCGTGCTGTCAGTCAAGTCAATCAGCTCGCTGACGGTCCGGCGGCCGACTCCGGCGCACTGACTTCTGCAGTTATTTCCAAATATGATCAATTTAAGCTCATTAGGTCCGTTAAATCCCTCCGTGTCTGTCTACACGGGTTTCTTTTTTTTTCATTTATTGAAATTGATAAACATTCCCGAGTTGTTAAGACTGAAGCTTTCTAACTGATCAATTTTGGCCATATTTGCGGTCAGATTAAAAAATACTTTTAATTTCTTGACAAATCTGCTGTAATTTATTAGGTTAAAGATTGTTGTAGGTTAGCCTGTTTTCTTTAAGATTAAACTCTAGACAGTGTTATTTTCAATGCATTTCAGTGTAATATAAATTACAATCAAGGAATAATATATCACACGACAACACATTTTAAACATTCACAGCTATGAGGTAAGCCTGATTTCATGTGTATACAAACTATTTAGTTTTTTTCCAATCCACTATCCTCTGACTGCTTGTATGCACTTGGAGCATGAATCCAATTGCCTCTCCTTAGTTTTTGTGAGGCAAAGCAACCAACCTTTAGTTTGTTTGCTCTTCGGCTTTTCCTCCATGCCACTGGAGGAGAGAGAGACTTTAGAGAGATGGCTAATAGATGCCAGGGCGCTGCCTTTAGACTCTCTCCCGGCCTGGAAGGATTTGGGATGGGATAGGGAAGACAAGACGCCATCTCAGCCTCCAAAAACCCCTGTCTTAAAATGACTGCGGGTAAGAGGATTAGGGCAATAATGCCCTTCTCTTCTTGAAGGGTTTTTAGAGAAGATTTCTTCTCCCGGAGCAAAACCGTTTAGGTAGGGAATTAAGGGCAGCGCAAAGTAGCCTTTTAATGTAAAGCTTGCATATTTTGTTGGGAGATTCTTTGGGAAAGTGCTTGGCCTATAACGCAGCGTTATCTCTGACCATGTTTCTCACTCCGAACACATTTTGAACAGTAGACAAAAGATTTCATGGAATAGAGAATATTTATGTCCATGCTCACATTAAAACACAACTGCACTCAAATTCATATAAAGTTGAAAGTTATGGCTGTATGTGTGTGTGTGTGTGTGTGTGTGTGTGTGTGTGTGTGTGTGAGAGAGAGAGAGAGAGAGAGAGAGAGAGAGAGAGAGAGAGAGAGAGAGAGAGAGAGAGAAAAGAGGGGGGAGGTGTTTTTTTTATTATTATTCTATTTCTGGGGGAAAAAATATTTTATTTAAAAAAATAGTGTTTTAAATCAGTGTTAAGTAGCAGCCATTACAATGATTTTGAGTGTTGAAATACAAAAACGAAATGAAGAGCGGTGTAGCCTAACTCATAATACTGAAAATCACATCCAATAACGTGAATCCTTATCGCTGTTATTAAAGAGCCTTCTGGAAACTTGAGACGGATTAAATATTTAATGTATTTATTTGCACAAACTTTGAATTAAGTACAAAAATATTAATAAATCAGTGTATTTTTAACTGTGGTGTTTGGTTGGCTGAACAAGAAACGTGTTTTTTTTTAAATTTGGGCCTTAAAAGTATTATTATTATTATTATTATTATTATTATTATTATTATTATTATTAGCTGCTGTAATTGATGTAGACGAAATCCCATCTCCCTGATGCATCTTTCTTTAGAAATCTGTCTTTTTTCCAACCACCTAAAACTTTTTCCATGTGTCTCTTTCCCCTCGTAAAAACTCGTGTGCCTCTCTGGTTGTGTCGCCTTGGTGGAGGCTCCTATCACTCGGTTTTTCTGCGAGGTCTGAGAAAGAAAGAGGATTAACTTGTGAACCAATGGAAATAAGAACTTAAACGGGAGGTAAATCTGGCCACTGTCTCTTTGTGAGGACCGTCTCTAAAGCAATTAAAGCGAGAAAGAGTTTCTTCTCAGCGCCTCTCCACCTAAAGCTCCTTAGAGCGACTAGAGCTGTCCAGCGCATCTGAAGGGCTTAAACGCCAAAAACAGCTCCCCTTACCCCTGTATACCCAGCCATGCACTGCTGAATACAAGGTGCGTAAACAATGACCTCCAGTTGACGAACAACCCCAGAATTTAAAAAATGTTAATTTGGAAAAAGTCCCATGAACTCATGTAGATTTTTAAAAAGTGAGTAAACTCTTTCTTCTTGAAAAATACATTTCAGTTGTTCCTGTCAGGTTTAACCCCTTTTGGTCTCCTCTTTTTTTCCTCTTTTGTACACATATATCTGAAGTGAACTCTTGTCTCATATTTGAGGAACAAAATTATCTTTAATGCCAGTAAATTCAGCTTTCTAATAGCTAATTAATACTCTTAATGATGTTTCTGCAACTTCATGAATACATTAGGTCTGCAATCCAGCAAGCCTCAGCCTCTCCGGCACCATTCAAGGGTATTTCAGCATCTGTTCATCCCACAGCAATTAATCATTTTGATGTGTAGTTTAAAATCGACTTCTTGCAGGAGACCTTTTTGACAAGAATAACAAAGCAATTTGCCAGGAGCCACCTCTTAGACACGTTATTAGCAGCACTTCCACAGTAAGACCCGCTTTTCCTATTTATTTATTTATTTTTTTAGAATATATTAGATAAATGAATTTAAAAAGACAGCCAGAATTTTGCGGTTTATTGTCAGCACCACGCCTCTGAATCCTCCTGAAATCCCTTTTATTGGTGACAAGATCTCAGGATCTCCTCTGCAAATCCCTCCTCTAAAAGTTTTCAACCTGTCAGTTTCCTCTTAAATCTGTATAATTCCCCCTCTTTTTCTCTCCATCCATCCCCTCCTCTCTTTCTTATTGCCCTCTTTTTCTCCCTTGTCTCAGTCCTTCTGTCTCATTTCTTTTCCTTGCCTTCTCTCCTCTCTCTCGCTCTCTCTGGCCCGGATCCCTCTGCACAAGGGGCCCCATTGTATAGTCCTAATCCAGAGGCAACACAGCTTTAGGGACATGCAGGGATAAAAGGCCCATTAAGCCCACAACTTTATGGGGGCAAATCTCTCCCTAATCCTTCGCTTTATCTAAACAAAAGCCCCTCTGCCTTAATCCACCAATGTGTTGAAAAAAGGAGAGGAAAACTGGAGAGAGTGGCAGAGAAGGAGAGAGAAAGAAAAGGAGACAGAGAACAAGAGATTGTTGAAGAGAAAAAAAAAATCTCACACACTGCAGGATTGAACGAGGAGAGATCATACGGGGAGGGTCTAAGTTTCCTGGAAGAGCTAAGTAATACTGACAAGCTTTCACCTGCATGGAGGAACTTTCACGTGTTAACTGTTACTGCGGCAGAAATGGACCATGATCCTCTCTCACTAAAAGATTCACCATGTGTAAATGATACGAATGCGTGCACGTTGTTGAAGAAATTGTGAGTAATGTGATATTAAAATGGACAAATAGAGTTCTGGTCTTATGTGAGGTTTATTCGGACAAGCACTTAAAAAGAGAGCCTGAGGGTCTGAATGCCAAATAACAGGAAGGGCACAGAGTAGACTCACATATACAAATATATGCACATATATGTCATTTAACAAACTGGTAAAAAATTTTACTTTTCCAATCTCAATATGTTTTAAAATGTAAGTAACAGTTTGGTGATTTGGATTTTGGTTGTGGGTTCGGCCTTTTTGTTTACATTTAGGTTACACATTTTTAGTTAAAGTTTTCCTCATTTTTAAAATCAATCTGAAAAAGATCCTGTTTGTCTAACCGATCCCAGAAAATGTTCACATCCATGTTTGTACGTTTGCTGAAACACTTAAAGACTAACCTCAGCCTCAGTAGCACAGTGTAATTCAGGTTATTTCTGTCTAGATTGACTTGTACAGCTCTTCTGTTTCTCCTGGGACTAATGGGATATGTTGTTTTTGAATGCAAACAAAAATTCTAATTCAAATTTCACTCACCAGTACAATAGCTGCTACACATTTATCTTACAATATTGGCAGAAAGGTCCATTACCATGTTTCTCCATGAGAAAATACACATGCACAGTTTAGAACTCCTTGATCATTTAGTTTCATGTCTACAGTTTAATTATCTTTTATTTCAGTAGTTATATATTTAATTATGTCCTTGTGCTTTGATTTTTATCGGGGCATTAACAGTAAACGTCACAGTCAAAAATTGCCGTAACTATCCACCTGTGATAATCCCCACAGGTTCAAATCAGCCTCAAATCTAAATCCTGTTTGTCTCAGGTGCCCTCTCGTACTCTCTGCCAATATTGACACAGGGTGTGGCCGGCTTTGCCCAGACTCCAATTAAAGAAATGGGTTCATGAGGCTAAATCTTAACAGGGATAACAAAGCTAAAGCCCCTCTGTGGAATCAGAATCCCTTTACTTCTTCTAAAACATCTGTCTTTACTACAGAAAATCCCACTGTATCTGCTCCGCTGCGGACAATCGGACCCTAATCTGGAGCTGGGTTTAGCAGACTGAGAGCTCAAGTCTGATGGTTTTAGTCAGAGCTGTGAGGGATAGGTGGTGAGCCTAACTGATACCTGCTGCATTAGGAGGTAAATACTGACACTGGAATTTGTGTTGAATGTGGAATTATCCTGTTAGATTAGGAAAAAACATTTATTTTACTTTAAAATGTATTTTGTTCAAGATCCTTTCAGAATAAAATGCCCCACCAAACTGTCAAAGATGCCAAAAGCATCACACTTGTTTTACTTTTCCTCTCAGCATGGCTCTCATCATGTTGCCTTCATTAACACTCTCAATTACCGTCTCCTCCTCGGCTCCGTTCCTTCCTAATAGAGCTAACACAAAGTTAATGAAGCAAATAGTTGGGACAATTTAGTCATTAGAGACAATTAATACAATCCAATGCAATCCACCTCAGACCAGGAGACAAGCAGAGTACTCAGGGAAAAATCCAACAACCAGCCACCCAAACTAAACGCAGTCTTCTGCCGAGTCA